TAAGTTTGTATTTTAACTAACTAGATAATATTTATGATACCAATGCAATGATGCAATACGTAGACGGCATTTATTAAAACATGCTTGGACTATATTTTCGTGACATCACGTATGAGCATAAAGAATAAATATTATACCTAATTCACATTTTGTCGATTGTAGGTACTGTACTTACATACAGAGATACTAAAAATAAATGAAACAGGTAAATTAAGTTTTACTTCCAATGATACTAGCCATACAAGGGCAGGTAAAAACCCAAAAGAACGAAGGAATGAAGTAGGTACCTACCTACCTCAAATGGATTCAAAGTTTAGCCCATAGAACCTGTTTTGTTCATAAAAAAAGATGTTTGCGTCTTCATTTATTTTTTATCGCAACTAATTTATAACTCGCCTGATTGTTATTAACATTGCTTTTGATTAACTTATTAACCAACTAGCTTCTGCCAGCGGCTTCGCCCGCGTTCCGCATTAAAAAGTAGCCTGTGCAGTACTCAAACGGCTAACAACAACCAACAGGCCTACCTAGCCGATGGTCGAAATGTGGTGGGCCCGCTGTGTAGTCAGTCCACAGCGGGCAAACTAACATTCGACAAACTTATATTTGCTTTAGGTACAGTAACTGTGTCTAGGGATGGACTCGCACAATTTTTTTTTTAAACGTTGCCCCACTCTGGTATTTTCTCCTGTGTCGTGGGTGCGTTTACAATCATACAAGTTCACATACACATGACACCCAGACCCGGAACAACAATTTGTGGATTGAGGAAAGAGTTGCTCCGTGCGGGAATCGAACCCGCGACACGTTGCATGGCAGCCAGTTGCCCAGCCACCGCACTAAATGTGTTGTCATGTAATGTCAATTAAGATTGTTTTAAGTGTATATACTTATCGGGATTTTAGTACCTAGTATGATGCACAGTATATTAAAGTATAAATGATTATAAAGTATAAATGATACTTGGTATGAACCAAGTATCACCGCAATCGTACCGGTAGCGTTTGCGTGATGCGTGAACATATAGATAGACAGACATTTTTTTCTTAATTACATTTACATATATAGATATATAGATGGTACGCCGTGGTATTAAAATTAATAGTTTATAATCCGGTGTTATTACTTATAACTTTTTGTTTTTGATGTGATCACGATCATAACGCCAACAACCAGTTTTAACCTGACCAGTGTCGCTTAGACAATATTTATGTTTGATTCGAAGATAAACCCCATGATCCATAGTCATGAAAAAGAACCACCGCACTACGAAGGCAGTTAGATGACTGGGCAGTTATCTCCGAAGAAAACGGCGACACCAACGTATTTGCCCGCAGGGTATAACACCAAAATTTGTCAAAATCACGGGTGGGGGCACCTCTAAATGTACGTAATATTTCTCAAATGTAAAGGCCACAATATTTGGGGACATTTCATCAAGAAAAAGTAATAAATCACATCTTTAAATACATTACAAGTACTCCTGTCACAAATATTTTCGTACTTTAGAAAGTAAAGTATGATTTATTGCGCGAAATACGTCAAAAATATTAAATTCCATGTTTTTATCACAATCACATTGTTCGTGTGGAGTTGGGATGACTGTTTTGTGTTTATTGTCCCTGAGATAAAGTTTAATTTTGTATGATTGAAAGTGAACCTAGTTTTTAAAATTCAGGGTTATCGATATAACTAATCAATATACTTAAAATACCTCTATGTTTTATCCTACACCTAGTGCTTATTATTTAAACTACTAAAGATCTCTATAATTTTTCTTAAGCCACTACAGCCAGTAATTACATTGAGTAATAGAAACGCAATTATTTTCAACTCGAAAATAGGTAAAGATTTAATTGTAATTTAGACTTAAAGAATAATTTTTTATTGTGACAATTGAGACGAAAGACGTTAGGATAACACGGGTAGCCGGTCTCAATGCAGCACTTTGTGCCTATCACGGATACGTAGCATCTATTCTCCGCTACGGCATCATAGTATGGGGCAACTCCGTAGACATTATTAAAGCATTTCGAGCCCAAAAGAAATGTATTCGCTCCATGTGTAAAGTCGACCCACTACATAGCTGTGTTCCACTCTTTAAAAAGTTAAAAATTCTACCACTCCCATCTCTGTATATATTCGAACTGTGTATCTTTGTGCATAAAAATATAGGTTTATTTCAAACACATAATAATGTTGTAATAAGAAAAAGCAGACATACTCATAAGTTATGTGTACCACAACAAAGAATTCAACTTTTTTCTAATAATGTATACTGTATGGCAATTCGTATTTATAATAAATTACCAAATGGTTTTAAAAGCCTTAATCTTATGGAATTTAAAAAGAAGCTGTTTTGTTTTCTTTTGCATAAATGTTATTATTCAACAAATGATTTTTTGAATGAAAAATTTAATTCTAAATTCAACCTAGACGACTTTTTATTATCCTTTAAGTAAATTGTAAAAATAATCTTAATTTTGTACCGAAAATAATTTTACTACATTGTGATAATTAATCGTCCATATTATCCAATTTTTTATTTTTGATTGTATGTTTTTACCTGTCTTGTTTTAATTTTAACTTTTAATATTTGTACGCTGGAAACAGCAGAATATTCAGAACATAAATTTATTTGTAACACCTTTGTAACAATATTCTAACAAATAAACGTATTATTATTATTATTATTATT